GAGAGAGAGAGAGAGAGAGAGAGAGAGAGAGAGAGAGAGAGAGAGAGAGAGAGAGAACCAGTCACTGTTGACTGAAATCAAACTGGCCCTAAAGCACAGCATGCATATAGCTCTGGATTTTAACTGGAGATACTTAGTGTACCAAATGACTAGGTTGTAGCGACTGGTCTGCACTGGACCCCCTCCCCCGGCATAAACGGCAGGCACAAGCCAAGCACTCACTGGCACGATTTAGCTGCCCGTTTCCGCCACGCTGGCGTCCTAAGTGGATCCACGTGAGCGGCGAGCCCGGGCTGCCAAAAATACCAGCAATAACGTAAGGTGGTCCTCTGAGCTGCGCTCTGCTCCGCCGTGCGGCTTAAAGGTCGGCCAGCGTGAGCACGTGTTCAAACAAAGGGGCAGGCGTGCACGGTGCACTGGAGAGACCCCGTTGAAGGCTGTAAAGGCTCATTAGCTCCCAGAGAACGAACGCGCTGTTTAAATACGCAGCCAGGGAGTTTTCACGTTCTGCTCTTTATTTCTGCCCCTGGAGTTGATGTTTGCGCCTTGACGTTACACGGCATGTCAAGGAAAAGCACCCTGCTGTTTGGGGAGGATGTTTATGTAGATGCCTTTCTTAAACCACAACTGGGAGATATATGGCATCTGATTTCTGGGTGACCCCTCCAACAGGTTACTGAGAGGGACGGTCTGCAGTCACTGTCCGTCTCCCAGGTGAAGGATGGAAAAACAGCAGGAATCTAAGAGGACAGAAGGGGAGGCAGCTAAGGACAGTGGCTTGATTGATTAGGGCCGACAAGTGCGCTGCTAGTGCTCACTGAGGTCAGGGCTTGGGGGGGTGTGTCTCTGAGGGGTGGAGAAGGGGACTAACACCCCAGCAGCCACTGTGAACCACAACTCTCTTTCCACCAATCAGAACGGGATGACATGAAGGCACTCCATATATGGCAAGTGTATACAGAGAAACATGCACACACAATCACGTGCACATGGTCACATGGGAAGCAAAGCAACAGAGCAGCAACGAGGGCCAGATCTCGCTGAAAGGCAAGAGCAACTTCCCCACACAGAGAAAGCTTTGTGGGGGAATGGGTGCGACTTGAAGACTATGAAAATGGCTGCAGATGCAAAGTGTGCTGGATAATGATGGAAGTAAAAAAAATTAGTCCATTCAAATGCACAGCTTCCACAATATTTGTTATTATTTTTGCACTTAGTTTGCTTTTTCCCCTCCATTTACTAGCGAGGCTGCCTTAAAGCAGAGGCAGGGGGACGGGCGAAACAGGGGACACGGCTGCAACCCCCCCCCCCCACACACACACACACACACGCAGGCAGGCCAATGGGGGCGCCACTCCAGTGAATGGGCCATGGTTAACCAGACGGCCATTTCCCAGCACACACAGATCTCCAGTTCTGCTGCTGCATGACGGTGATACGCATCACAACAGCCAATAAAAACATATCAGGCCAAAGGAAAAAACGTTTTCCTAAGTGCCTTTAAGAGCAGACAACAAATTTCCAGAGCAAGTCTGGAGGACAAAACTAGCGGCACTTTTCCACTGGCATCCTGGAACCAAGCCGTATCTGACCTGCGGACAGACACTAGTTACAGCTCAGTTCCAGCTCACTGTGGTTTTCCACCGCGAAAGGGCTGGCTTGGCAAAGGCACTGTCAAGTTTGGAGAGCAACAATGACGTAAAACCAAAGAGGTGTTTATTTACTGTTCACGCAGCGTACCTCATGATTTACTATGTACTAATTTCCACTAGCACATCTGAGAAATGCCGTGATACATTAGCATCCAACGCAAGTGGAATTATTTGCATTATGTTGCGTACATTTGCATTACAAATCCATTCTATTCAGCTGTTCCAAGTACTTTTCCCAAGTAGGAGGTTGGAAATTTTCAAGTTCCGAAGGAATGCATCAATGTATCACAATGTGCGATGCTACAGATAAATAATATATAGAATATACCCTTTATTCCTGCAGATAATCCATGCACATCGATGCAGATCACTGATTATTTCAACCAATCACACAACCAGTTGATGACGCATACAGTTCAGTGTAGAGATGCTGCTCCAGTGTGAGCACGAGCTGGACACGGCTTACATACTTTACAATGGAATACCGTCTCTTTACGGTACAGCTCAGTTTTTGGTGGCAGTACAAAAGCGCCAGAGGTCTTTGCATCAGAATAACCCTCCAAGATGAACCAGAGGGGCTCTCTGCTGCATCTTCTCAGTGGGATTTTCAGAAATAATTAAACTACTTGACTTGTCCACTTCTCAGACCTAGTTTTATCAAGGCTGAAATAGATCAGTAATTTGACCGCTCTTTACCACCTTGCAATTCAAGCCAAACAGAATTATGAGCCTGTTAACGTTACGCGTGTCAGGCTCCTCTGTCACGGCTTCCGGACAGAGGTGACGACCTCCTGACCCCACGCGATAACTTCTCAAAACGACATCAGCCCCCGATCTGTATCAATTTTGGCAGAATCGTAAAACCGGCACAAATTACACAAAAGCTACTACAAGCACGACAATCGGGTTACGAGGAGCAGATATCTAAAGCCAGTACCACTATTTTGCCTCATTGATAGTTTGGGATACACTCCTCAATTTAATTTAAGTCAATTCTAGCCACAAAAGTCAGCCACTGCTTTCAGCACACCAACTTAAAACTGTTAATGAATTAAGTGTTATCTCAGGGGTGAATCTGCTCGTGTGTGGAAGTTAAGTCAGTTTAGTGCTAGCGGTTCACTCATGATCACGGTCGTTTTCCCCGCAGCGGTGAAGGGCTCGTTCCGGCCAGAACTCCCACCTGATTGTTCCCGTTGGAGAGGGTAGCGGGCTCATCATGCTCCTGAAGTCGGTGTCGGGAATGTTGATTTTCAGAGGCGAGATCTGGGGGTAGAGCAGCCTTACAGGGGACAGCGCCCCCTCCTCCTTGCAGGCCTCTTTGTGGTACAGCGCCGTGAACTGAATCTTGATTGACGTGCTGGGGAAGCGAAATGTACACCTGGGAGAGACGGGGCAGGATAAAGGGGAACCGTGTAAACGCACTGGGAGGCATTTTGAAGGAGACATCTATACATTACAGCAAGAATCCTAGCTACAAGCATGAAGTTTGATTTCGCTGAGGAATTTCCACCAAAAATGCTACATATAACACTGCATGGTACAGCTGGACAATTAATCAAATTTTAAATTTCAATTATGACGATTATTATGCTGGCTTCCAATGATTATTCAAAGCAAAATAACAGAGATAAAATGATGCTCCCATTTTGTCTTCTGTTATAAATCAAGTGGACTCCATTCCAGCCACTTTGAATGGGTTTCTGAATTATATTTAAAGTTTAAGGAAATCCAATGTTAAAAAGATTTTTTTAAAACTTAATAAAAAAATAAATGCATTTTTCCCCAAAGTTAAGGAGTAATTCCGTTAAATATATGTGATCTCAGTCAAAAATAATCGTAATTATGATTTTTGCTATCATTGAGCAGCCCTACTGCATGTCATAATACAAAGAAATGTTTATACCAAATTTACACAGACAACTAACTTTTGGCCATCACAATACGCATCTCGTTAATATTTTAGGGACATTACTATTCTGCCTACCAAATTATTGGGTAAGTAAATACCCATATAGTACGGAAAAACTGGTGTCCGGACAGGTTTCACCCATCATCTAAAGTCCTAGTGATTACCGCACATACTCCATATAATTGCGATTACTTTGTGATGTGATCACAACAGCCCTTCTTGCACATTTGCGCGCACTTTGTTTAATGAGATTTTCCACTGAATGCTACTTCAACCTCTCAAAACTTTGACTTTACAAAGATTGCAAATCGCTGTGCTACTAGTTGTTATTAAAAGCGTAAAATACTTCCAGATCGTAAGCGTCTTATCTGATGGTCTTACGCTCCTCCTACTGCAAAGGGCAGGAAACTGATTTAACAAGAAACGGGAGTAATCTTTTTACAGACGGATTTATTTAGTTTTCAGCAGTCACACATGGCCGATACCCGATCTGTCTGATTGGGTATGGATCGGTGCAGATACCGATCCCGAATACTGGATCAGCGCATCTCTAACAGTCAATGTTGTGTTTTAAAGGATGGATGAAAAAGGAGCCATGATGGAGGCAGGTCTGGGTGGAGTGCCCACTCTTCCATTGCTGTCAAAGCTGAGCTGAGTGGGGGGGTGTTTACACAAACACCGGCCTTGCCGTGGCAGTGGAGTGGGTTTGGCTGGGGGCCCTGGGACTCTGCCACGAGGACACTTTTCATGGCCCCCTCTGTAAAAGTCGGCCACCAGGGGGCAGGACAGCTAAGGGGCCACCTCACTTAGAAGGCAGTGAGCCGAATCCCACTCTGTTCCCATTATCAAGGGGATGACAGGAGGCTTGGGATGGCCTGGGGACCTCGATCACATCAGCTGAAAGCATCATCTCAGCAAAATTACACGGCAAAAGGGGAGATAATGATGTTTTTCAACATTAAATAGCACCTACTGCAGCAAATAGGTTTTTGCAACCTTTCCTCCAGCGTATATTAAGATAATTCTGAGCAGCTTAGTTAACTGCAAAGTCTTTGGAAACTTCTACAGTAACAGGGAAAACTTATGTCTTATATTCTTATATTTCATTGTATTACACTAACAAACACTATTGTTGAATTTACATAGAAAGACAACTGCTGCACTAAACCAATTATATTGCTAACATTATTTAGCTGTTCCCATGGTGTTTACGGCAGCAAATTATGCAGGTGGAAATTAGGGCTGCTCAATTATGGCAAAAATCATAATCACGATTATTTCATTCAATACTGGGATCACAATAATTCTACATGAAATATCATGCATTTATTGAACTTTAAAAAAAAAAAAGAAAAAAAAAAAGACAATTGTACATACTGTCCTTGCACTTTTAATGGTGCATTTCCTTGAATTCAAAATATTATTCAACAAAGAAAAATTAAAAGGGCGCTCTGGTCTAATAAGACAAAACGTGAGCATCACTGTGAAACAAAATGGAGCACAAGTAATCGTTTAATCTTGATTAATAATTGCTGGGAGCCAAATTTGTAAAGGAAATTAAAATTCGATCCTACTAGAAATGCTGATGAGATTTGTCATTTAATTGGGATTTCACAGAGGAATAAACAAGATGCCCCAGGGGGATGGGATGGAGATCAGTGCTTGGCACTTAAGGGAATCCATAAATTCATGCAACACGGTGTTTTAAAACATTTTAACAAGAACCTCAATACTGTAATGGTTTACAATCTTTACAGTGAATGCTGCTCTGCACACTCAGGTCCGGTCAGGTTGGGGAGCACATGCTGATGCTGCAGGTGTTGTCCAGGCATCTCCTTGGCCTGGTCCAGCTTCTCGGGTCCTCAGCAATGAGGATCCTTGCAAGCCGGATCACCCTCAGGGAAAAGTGCCACATGGACGTAGTGCCGTAACTGACACTACCTCACAATGCAGGTAATGTGCCTCATTCAGGACTCCTCTGGCAACCGCTCATTTGACACAAAGTCAAACCAGCGGTACCCAAGGATTCTCCGAAGAGTCACAGTACCAAATGAGTCCAGTCTTCGTCTCAGTTCACTGGATAGTGTCCATGTCTCACAGCCATACAGCAAGACAGGGAGCTCCAGGACACTAGACCTTCGTCCTCTTGCAAAGATATCGGGAGCGACCTCAAGACCCCCTATGATCTCCCAATTAGGGATGGGCATTTTTGATCATATTTCATTTCGAGTAATCCACAGTTTTGAGAAACGAGTACTCGATTAAATCGGGGGTGGAGTTTAAGCAAGGGGCGGGGCGTTTGCGTCACAGTATACAGTAAACATTTAAAAGAAGTAACAGCATGAGGTGAAGCTGAAGCGCTTTTTCTACATGACGCATTGTATATAAAATTAATCACATAGCCTAGGTACATAAATATGTAAATGTTATATTACAAATTGTATTTATCTACACAAAATGCATGTGAGCTTGAACTACGTGCCAATCAAAGTAGTGGATGCGCTTCTCCCGTTACTTTAAAACAACGGCAACTGAAGCCCCGCAATCCTTGCAGTGACCGTTTTGCGCGATGGGACAGTATAGTGGGGCTCATCGTAATTCATTAAACGTTTAAAACCTTCACCTTCAACAAAACTAATAGGCAGCAAGTCTTCTGCTGTCATTTCTGCTATTAACTGCGTCATCATCTCTGCCCGGCCTTTGTCGCATTTCTGTCTGATGGTGAAATCTCTTATGCTCGTCTGACTGCTGGTAGTGGCATCGGCATCATCTGCTTTTTTGTGTTTATGTGCAAGATGATCGAACACGTTGTGGAGTTGTAGACGACTGTGGCGCTGCACATCTTACACTTGACTGTTTTTTCGTCAAGTTTTTCCAAAGTGTTGCCAGACATCGCTGCGCGCTTTAGAAGCCATTTTCGCTCTGTGCTCCAGTCTTGTCACTAGACCGCAACTTCTCACAGCCGTAACCAATCAAATATCAGACTACCGCCCAAATACCAGCATAACCAATCAGAAAGAATGAAAGTAGTTTAATTTAAAAAAATGCATTTTTAGAGCCAATCGATCGTCATTTTCATGCTCGATCGTCGCTGATGGGTTCCAGTAATCGATATATCGAGTACTCCTGCACATCCCTACTCCCAATCTGTCTGCTGACTTCAGAAGAAGAGTCACCAGTGACGTTCTCCCCGCAGACAGACACACTACTGATGGCTGTGCCTAAGTCATTATAGGCCTGAATCTTGGTTGTAATCCAGGACACTTGCAATCCCAAACATTCAGAATCCTCACTCAGTCTCTCAAGAGCCCCAATAAGAGCCTCCATTGACACAGTATCGTCGGCAAAGTCAAGATCAGTAAAACTTTCTTCACCAACAGATGCCCTAACAACCACTGGACCCCATGACCCTGACCAACACCCAGTCCATGCAAGCACTGAACAGAGAAGAAGCAAGAACACACTCCTGATGAACCACAAAATCAACTAAAAGAGGTTCTCCCTCCATTCTGCACAGCACCCATAGTACCAGTGTACAGGCCGGCCATGATGGCCAGAAACTTTGGGGGGATTCAGCAAAGTCTCAGAATGTCCCATTCGAGGCAACTCGATCAACTGAGTCAAACACTGTACGAAAATCAACAAAGGCTGCGAAAAACCGAAATTCAGGCTTGCGCTCAATGAGAACCATCAGTGCCAGGATGCGGTCGATGGTAGACATATTAGGTGTAAAACCAGACTGCTGCGGTCGCTGACAGACAAGCAAATGATCATGGATCCCGTTAAGGATGACCCTAGCAAGGACCTTACCTGGCACTGAGAGCAGTGTTATCCCCCAGTTGTTGCCGCAGTCCAGGTGATCACCCTTCCCTTTCCAGATAGGGACTACAAGTCCCATTTTCCAGTCAGTTGGGAAGATGCCTGTCTCCTAAATGGAAGCACAGATTGCCTGCAGTGCCAGGAGGACAGCCTTACCACCAACCTGGAGAAGTTCACCCCGGATACCTCAGAGCCCTGCGGCCTTCCCTCCCCCCAGCTGATTCACCACCCGTGCAATCTAAGTGAGACTGGGTGGTTCATAGCTGATTGGAGAGTCAACCCCAAGAACCGTGGACCCAGAGATGTCCAGTGTCCTAGCTGGAGGATCAGCTTTAAACAGCTGCTCAAAGTAGCCGGCCCTGCGAGTCACAACTGCAGTGTCGTCCGTAAGAACTGTTCCGTCTCCTGCCCCGACTGCAAGTTTCTGAGGAACAGATTCAGATGTGCATCATGCCTCGATCCCCCTGTAAGCAGGACGTGGGTCACTAGACCGCAGATGATGTGCCACCTGCTCCCAAATTCGTCTAACAAACGCCTCCTTATCGGCCCTCAGACTCCTCACAGCCGTCCTCCTCAGTTCCTGGTAGAGACTGAAGTTGCCACAAGTCATGTGCTGTGACTCCTCTTGATAATATCCTGCACATTCTAATTAGATAAAGATTTTTTTTGTAGGTACACAAGTCTGGACTGCAATATTGGCTGTTTAGCGGTTTTAAGTCAAAAGGTTTCATTTTCCTGGGTTAACCACACATTTCAGCCCACAATGGGCAAAATCAAAACAAGGATAGCTCTCTCTCTCTCTCTCTCTCTCTCTATCACTTTCCATCACACACACACACACACTCTCTCTCTCACCTGAAGTCCACCCTAACAATTGCACAAAAAGCTGAACATGTGTGATGAGAAGATGCACCGTTTGTTTGGACTCGGCTGGCATGTCGACCCGGCCGGACAAGCCCGGCTTTAGGAGCGGAAGCGGAGACACAGGTGCACAAACGCTAACACCACACTAAAGCTCAAGGTCTCACAGTAACAACAAACCGCACACTAAATCTATCCCCATGGTCATGTGACCACAACCCACAATCTGGAAATACCTATCCGCATGGCTTCAATGAAGTGAAGTCTATATAAACCTCAGCTACAGGAAGACATAGGAGCTAAAACGGGATTCTTTCACACCATTCAACAAATACAAGCCCAGCTTCCAAACGACTGCACTTCAAGTATTGCTAATCACAGACCTGCTCCCATTCTTGCTTTGGTTGTGCAGCCAAACTGGTTAAATCTAGATCTAAGTAAACGCATTCGCTGTAATCTCCGCCAGCCTACTATCCAGCCCTGTGAAATACCACAGCCATAAATACTGGAAGATCTGGACGAAGTCCAGCCATGGCTGAAAGAGTCCACAAGTTCACGTGGTTCCCCTGACCCACCTCTCCTGTAATCAGCCACATGGGGTCCATGCTGCCCATTTGACCGAAAATAAACGCTCACTGGTATCCTGAAGCCTCCTCTATCTCCACCACTGACATCTCCTCACTTTTTAATCAAAAGGACTAAGCTGGAGAAGAAAAAAAGAGAGGAAAAAAATGGCAGCGGAAAATGACGACCTTTAATTCCTGTACCCCAGATGCCTTTCCCACCAACCAGTCCTTCCGAAAGCCACCCTGCAGAGGTTTCTATGCAGCCCTCGCGCACGTCCCGTACAGAGCTGGCCTTGCCCCGTCGGGGGAGACGGCTTTCTGTTTGGGTTTCGTATTTGCTTGCTGCACAAAAAAGTCCCAAATGAAGGAAGCCAGGACCTGCCTTCAAAGGTCCCAAAACTTTCTTTCAAGACCCCCCCCCCCCCACAAAGAAATGGGAAATTTAAAGCCCTAACCCTGTCAAATCTGCTACTCCACAATGCCCGCTAATAAAGTACACTATATTTTAATACTTATATACTCTTCCCATTTGCAATTCTACTTAAACTGTAAGTTTACTCCCGTGGCTGCATGGACAATACAGACAAGACACCCATGCCTTCAGTCCATATTTGGCTCCTGAACATCTCCCACCTAATCACTGTATCAAGAAAGGAAAAAAACAATTATAATACTTCTACAATTTTACAAATTAAGGCTATAAACCTCCAAAATCAGATCAAACAGTTTGCGGCACAAAAAAAATACAGGGTTCTGTAATTAAAACTTTATTGCACTAAGGTTGATGTTTATCATAAAAGTGGGGAAAGGATCTATTGCTTGCAAATAGATCAGGGCTGTAACGGTGCAAGTATTCATTGTATACCGTTTGGTTTGGAATGCACAATGAAACAAATTAATACATTTCTTGTCATGGATGTAACCTAAATTCACAAGCAGATGTTCAACACAACAAAAAATGCTAATTGTGGCTGTGAGTATGTTACAGCTAATGCTGGTTACTGTGGGAGCTAGAAGATCCTCCCACATCACTAAAATCTGTAGATTGGGAACACTGTAGTTTCCAAAAAATTACACCAGCACTGGGGACCAAGAATGTCTGTTATACCAAACGCAGACATGGCATTTAAAGAGCTATTGCCAGGAAATACAGACCGGGCTAAAAAAATATATATTTTTTTTTAATTACTAAGGCTAATATTGGATGTTTAATGTGACAGATATAGGACCATAGACTGTAGCAGAGAACACATGATCTAAACGGGATTTAGTTCATTATGATTCTTACGATGCAGCCTTATTTTTTAATTATTTAACATATTTATTTTTACAATGTGCAAATTGGCTTAGGTTTTGTTATACAGACCCATTGCCTTAAGTTTGGATTACAATTGTTCCTAATTGGGTTTGCAGTTTTAATAATAAACTATTTAACAACAAATTGCACCGAGTCCTGAACTCAAAAGTGTGGCTTTTACCGAACTGTGAATTTTGTGTACCATTACACCCATAAGATAGATGAAGTATTTTGCCATGTTGTTTTACCACATTTTCACCTTTACAATACACCTCAGTTCTCACCTGTGTAAAACTGGAAAGGTACGTGGGATCTGAAGTGAAGTAAAACATTGGTAAACATGCAGAGACACCAGCTTCCATAACCCTGTCCCCTTAATGTACACAGAAAAATGATAAAAGCAGATAGCTTAGGGGCTGAGGAACTGACCTTCAGACTGTGTTAAAAATCACCCAGAGACACCCCATTTAGTAAAGCATGAAGCGTGGAGCGGGAGATGAAATGTGCATTTAAGTCCTTTTGTGCAGATAAATGTGAAATAGTTCCTGAAAATATGTCATTTTTTCCATCCATTTTGCAAGCAAAAAAGACTGCAGCACATTTAGATATACCTAAAGGTTAATCACTCAAATATAAAAAAAACTCACATGAGAATCAAACAATGTTAGTATAATATAAAAGCAAAGCATAAGAATAATCTTTGTCAGAATTACTATTTCGGACAGGGATATTATTTATTTCATTATTATTTAATGAAAATTCTTTTCATTGCTCATTTGTCTTCATGTTGAATCCATGCGAAGATTGAAAACATAAAGGTAAATATTTTAAATAATCTTTTAAAAACTACAGACTGAACAGGCAGTGACATCCTAACTTAACTTGACAGGATTAGCCAACACATTGGGACTGGGACCGGTCAAAATGGTTTCGTTTTGTGTCACACTGAATAAATGGGAAACGAGTTCATTCACATGGACAGACACTGATACCAATGCAGTTTACATTCGGCATTTTTATATTAGTTCAGCTTTACAGCTACCAGAAGACACGCAGCTCAGCAACATAACAATATTTCACACACATTTGTCCGAAGAATTATTTTAAAAATCTGTATATTTTTGTTTAATTTGACGTTATATTAAAATACTTTAAACGTGACAAATGCATGCCATTCGACATTCGTCAAGTGTTTTGAAACGCCTGTGAAAGTATGGTTGTGCTGTTTATTAGAGTATGTACTGATTAAATCACAAGTTTGTTTGCACGGCTGGATTCCCATTTCAAACAGTAGTTTTATGTTTTTATTAGTGAAATATTTGTGATCGTTACTTCTACCAGCTGCCACAGTTCCCGTCTATTGACTTCTCGTTATATTATCTGCAAGCTCCAAGGGCAGGCCGGTTACAGCAGATCTACCGCTTTCCAGGAAGCGAAATGCGGCACCGCAATCCCCTCAGGTCGGTGCGTAATGTGCAAAAAAAAAAAACAGATTGCAGTTACTGCAAAAATCACCTTAAGCTGGCGACACATTAACGTGTTTTTATGTTAATATTAGTAAATGGGGTGGCTGAATAGCACTGTAAACGGAGCATTTTCTTCTTTTTTTAACTTTACCCAAGTCCCCCAGCCCCGCGGACCCCCCGGTCCCAGACTCACTCCCGTGGCAGCTGCAGGGGAGGCGCCCCCCTCCGCTGGAAGACGCCGTCCACGAAAACGCCGTTCTTGCCCAGGCAGCGCAGGTAGAAAAAGGGATCCTCGAAGGTGATCTGGAAATGCCGCCTGGAGATGAAGCTCGAGTGGCCCATGCTGACGTCCACGGAGCCGTGCGACGAGTTGCGGCCCACGGTGATCACTTTGTGGCGCATGGCGAACTCCAGGTCCCTGCCCTCCAGGCGCGCCAAGGCCGGCGGCAGGATCGCAGCCGAGACCGGCATGGGGCTGCGGGGGGCGGACTTCAGGGCCAGCAGAGCCCGAGCTCCGGTATCCTCCTCGAAATCGGCCATCTTCTACTCCGAAAATACACCGGGAACTGCAGCCGTCTCGGTGGGAACAGCTAGCCGCCGCATGGGCCGGGCTGCCGCAAACACGCGTGCCGGAGCGCCCGGAGTCGGGGCTCACTGCTGGGACGTTACGATATCTGCTGCTCGGCTCAGAGGGTCACGGAGCCCTGCATTGTGGGATCCCTCCAAAAGCGTAACTTTTTTTCTTTATTATTAATACTTTTAATTAGCTGCGACAGTGGCAGAAATATAAAAAGGAAATTGTCTGATAAAACCGATTGGTCTTTTTTAAGGTATCCGATGGCACCTGTTCGAGATCAATAACTTAAGATAGATCAAGGCAGGTTTGTATTGCCCTGCAACTTCAGCCGATGCTCACTTGCTGAACATCCTGATGCAGGTGCTTTTATCGCAAGATTCCCGACGGCTAGAAATCGTGATGTCAAGGACAGACTTTCGCCAAGATATATTTAAATACCCGACTAACCGAATTACCAAGAAGGGGTACAGCAAGGAGTTAACAGTCAAGCAGTTCCCGGAACGAGGCGACACGTGCGTTACATGTGGCACTAGCCTAATGACAAGGTAAAACGAAATTTAGCTGTGATTTCTTTTTCACACGCCGACGCTTTTCACTTATCCCGATACTTCCGTCTCGCCATCAAAGTCAAAATCCTTAGAGCGACGATGTTTTCGTGAGATTTGGCGACGACGTCATAGCATCTGCAGCCAGTCCACAGGTTCAGTGTTTATAAACACGAAAAGTACAAGCGACATAAAAAACCTGGCCGGTGGATTTCGAGCAGGAACCGGAAGCAGTAGCGTTCGTTGCTGTCCGCTAGATGGCGGTGTACACTGAGGCACACCAGAATCATCTCACCCCAAGTTCTTTAGATGAGGTCAGCGGTATAGGAACCAGGGAGGATGTATATCCCCCAATATTTCATTTGGATTAATTCACCCCCCCCCCCCCAATAAACAAACATTTTTGGTGCAGGAGGTAGTGCTACCGTTCGGCAACCAGAGGGTTGCAGGTTCGAGCCCCGGGTCCTCCTGACTCCGTCGAAGTGTCCTTGAGCAAGACACTGAACCCCAAATTGCTCCCGGTGAGCTGGTTGGCGCCTTGCATGGCAGCCTCCGCCACCGGTGTGTGAATGTGAGTGTGGATGGGTGAATGTGAGGCATAACTGTAAAGCGCTTTGGTACTCGTAAGAGTAGTAAAAAGCGCTATATAAATGCAGTCCATTTACCATTTACATTTGAATTAAAATGATCAAATTGCATCCTCCAATATTAAACTCTCTCCTATGCCGTTGTGTTCAGCTATCCATCTACTAATTGTTTGTAGCCTACTACTCATACAGCCTATCCCAGTCAGCATAGGTGCACGAAGGGCAGGATGCCAGTTCATCACAAACAGGGATGGGCAGTATTTCTGATGCTTGTATTTAAAACACATATTTCGAGTACAAATTTGTATGTTGAATTTTGTATAAGGCTTACTTCATAAAAATGTAACTTGTATAAAATACTTCGATGCTCAGTTTTTTTGTATTTTGAAAGTACATGAAATACTTTCCTCAAGGGGGGGCATGGTGGCTTCACCCCTCTGGGACCTGGCTTTGAGTGTCTGCCATGACTCCATGTGTCGAGTTTGCATGTTCTCCCCATATCTGCATGGAGTTTCCTGCAGGTGCTCTCAGTGCACCCTCCCCACGCACAGTCTAAACACACACTGAAGTTAATAGGAGTTACCACATTACATGTGAGTGTGCCCTGTAGGGGGCTGGCAAAACATCCTGGGTTAATCCCTGCCTTGCATTACACTCACCTAAAGGATTATTCTTAACATTTACAAATGTAAACTTACACAATAACAATTGAATAATATATACATTTTAGCTGGAACCCCCGCGACCCAGAAGGATAAGTGAGTTGGAAAATGGATGGATGGATGGACATTTTAATGAATTAACCTGTGGAAAAAAAACTAAATTTTTTTACTTAGACTTGTTGCTAAACAAGTATCAAGCTGAGTTATAACTAGATAAACAGACTTCACTGAGAAGAGATGCCATTGTATTACCCATCAAAACACAATTAAATTAGTTTCCATAAACTTAGCAGTTGAAACTTAAAACTACTCATCTCTCATCAGATCAGCTATTGTAATTCTGAACAGTCACCATTTTACTTTTAGAAAAACAGGCCTACTCCTCTTTTAAATTCATCCAGCTACTGAGACAGACCAGTCTGTTAACATTATCAGAAGACAGAGCCGCTCTCTTTTTTTGGATGATGTGTCCAGACAGAGAGAACAACCTTTCACAGGGCACTGTGGTTGCAGGTGTTGAGAGATACTTGCATGCAATCATGCAATCATTTCCTGACCTGCATGTGGCGCTTTTCTTTTGGACCACCACTGCAGTGGACACTCAACTATATCAATTTTGCAGTCTGATTTATATCGATCCAAACCTTTGTTTATGGATTCTACTTCCTCATCTGTGTCTGAATCAGAGGATGAAAGAAATACTATGGACATCTTTTTTTTAGTGGTTCTTCATTTGTTGTTTCAGAAGAAGAATGCCGTGCTTGCTTCTCCTCTTTCATCATGTTGCTTATAGTATCCCACACCTCAGTCCATTCAGGTTTGGGGAGACACTTTAGGTCCTTGAACCTGGGATCTAGTGTAGTGGCAATCTTGAGCCATGCAAGGTTAGCATTTTTCTTCCTCTGAGCTAGATCTTCAGTAATTGTCTTTTTGAACCTCACAATGTAAATTGGATCATCATCATCTGATGGCTCCATGACTCTTGACAAGTGTATCTCTCTCCTCCCAGGAGTTCAGTAACATATATGTAATGATATTCTGCTTTAATGATCATAGTAAGCAAAAATGAAACACAAACTACTTTTCCATACACACACACACACACATAGGTTTATATAGGTTCACTTGTATGAGGGAAAATCTAGTCCTAAAATGACAACCTTCACCCCTACCCAGCCCTAACCTTAACCATAAGTAATTAAGCAAAATATGACACTCTTGGCATTTTAAATTTTTTGATAGCATTTACAAATCATAGCGGGGACCTGAAAATTAGATGACGAGTGCCTGACGTCTCGTAAACTTCACTCGGGTGTTTCGCTCTCAGGTGATAGGCCAGTGATGAATTACTACGATGATAACTAAACTCAGCTTTGCAAATTGAACATATTACAGTACTTTCATTTTTTCTAAAGTGCCGTCTGGTAACGTTTTAAAGTAGAACTTTCCACCTAAAAGTTTCCTTGTCTCCATAACTAGCGTAAGTATATGCTTAATAGCAGAATCATAATGCGTCAGTCATGGCAATTTTTTTAACACGTCAAGATGTCCAAATTAATCACAAAAATTTGGCTGAACAGCATCCAAAACTGTTAGAATCTTATATATCTAGATCATGTCCCCCCTTAGTCTCCTTTGCTCGAGGCTGAACAGATTGAGTTCAGCTAACTTCTCCTCATAAGACATTCCTCTAAGACCAGGAATCATTCTTGTAGCCCTACGTTGAACCTTTTCCAAGGCAGCAATGTCCTTTTTAAAGTATGGTGACCAAACCTGCACACAATATTCTAGCTGGGGTCTTGCCAATGAATTGTATAATCTTAGCATCACCTTCCTTGACTTAAACTCCACACACCTAGAGATGTAACCCAACATCCTATTGGCCTTTTTAATTGTTTCCCCACACTGGTGAGAGTGGGACAGGGAAACATCAACATACACACCAAGGTCTTTCTCATAATCAGCTACCTTTATATCAGTGGAACCCATAAAGTATCTCTACTTTATATTTCTGCTCTCTGCATGGATTACCTTACATTTATCTACGTTAAATTTCATCTGCCAGGTATCAGTCCAATCGCTAATTAAATCAAGTTCTCGTTGTAGCCTCTGTGCTGCTAGTTCAGTATCTGGTACATGACCCACCTTGGTGTCGTCTGCAAATTTAACCAGTTTACTGTATGTATTGTTGTCAATATTATTAATGTAAATTAGAAACAATAGTGGTCCTAAAAGTGAACCCTGCGGTACCCCACTATGAACACAGGCCCACTGTGACATTGTGCCTCTAATAACTACTCGCTGCTTCCTGTAAGTTAACCAGTTTTCAATCCAAGCTGCCACAGTTCCTAAAATCCCTGCAGCTTTGAGCTTAAGCAAGTGCCGTTTGTAGGGGACAACATCAAAGACCTTTGGGAAATCTAAGTAGATCACATCGTAGGCCTTTTTCTGATCAATTTCTCTTATACAGTAGCTTCCTCAAAGAACTCAAGTAGAACTCAAGGTCCTGTTTGTTAAACAGGACTTACCTCTCCTAAATCAATGTTGGCTGTCTCTTAGAATGTTATTTGAATCCAGGAATGCAGATACCATTTTCACTTGGATTATAGCTTCCATTACTTTTCCATTTATGCAGGTTAAACTGATTGGTCTATAGGTTGCTGGATTACTTCTATCCCCTTTTTTGATCATCTGTAGAAGTCAGAGACGTCAGAAGCATTTTGAATGTGGGGGGGACACATTGGTGGGGGGTATGGGGACCCTCCCCCAGAATTTTTTAAAATGAACTAGATGCTATTTCCTGCAAAACCCGGAGTGGTCTTTCAGTGGTATGTGTATTCTCATATCAATCAAGTGGAATGGATTATTTCGCAAAGCAATAGAAACAGCGCTGGGTGAACTAATATTTTATGTTAAATGTGGGGGGGGGGGTCCAAACGAATAATTATGAAATGTGAGGGGGACACATCCCCCTCAGATTTTATGGTGGCAACACACATGGTAGAGATTCTTTACAGCCTTTGTTGATTTTCGTAAAGCATTCAACTCAGTTGATCAAGTTGCCCTGTGGGACATCCTGAGACTTTGCGGGATCCCCCCGAAGTTGTTGGACATCATGGCCGGTCTGTACAATGGTACTGTGAGTGTTATGCAGAGAGGAGGGAGGTCCTTCACGTTCTTCCCAGTTCTCCCTCCACTCTGGACTCTGAGGTTCGCCAGGGGTGTGTTCTTGCTCCTACTCTGTTCAATACTTGTATGGACTGGGTGTTGGGCAGAGTCGTGGGTTCCAGCGTCTGTGGGGTGTCCATTGCTGAAGAAAGATTTACTGATGACATTGACATTACCGATGAGGCACATTATCTTCATTGTGAGATAGTGTGAGTAGCAATACTACCATGTGGCACGGTTTGCGGAGGGTGATCCAGGTCGCAGGATCCTTATTGCCGAGGACCCGAGCAGCTGGACCAGGCCATGGGGACACCCACATTACACCTGGCTGCAGCAGATGGATGGCCATTGCTGGAGGGGTGGGACTGGACTGTGTGTTTGCCTGAGAGGTTGCCAGCTGGGATCCAGAGGCATTTCGTCATGTGGTGGGTGTCGCAATGCGCTGCATCATTGCAAGAAATCTGCAATCAACGACAGGAAGACAGAAACTTCCTGGTTCTCGCATAAAGGGCAGAGGAACGGAAAAATAACTGTGGATAAAGCATTCATATCAGCAGTGAGATCACCATGAGAAGTATTCAAATAAGATAAGAATGTCATCCTAATCAGACTCGACTTTACCAACCAGGACATGACACAATGGAATTTCTGCTGCTGTTGTTTTCATGTTTCAGTGCAGTTACTAATACCACACTTTAATATTCTTCCATGTCGCACTCAAATTTTAATAAGCTATTTGTCACGTCTAAAGCTAAGGAAGCACAACCCAGATACAAGCTGTAATGCAGGCTAACCCCTTGCACGGGACTTAATTACCATGAACACAAGTGTGAACTGGGGGATGGAAGACTGGGGAGCACTTATACAATATATACAATGAGTAACAGAACAGGAGGCAGCTGGAAACAATACACAGGAGGGCAGAATGAGCGATAAA